CTGAAATTATTAGACTCGTTCAATAAAGATATTTTCAACTGATGAACTTATTTTTCCAGGTCGTTGAGAATTTCTTGCTAGTTATCTTGAGATAATTATACAATTGATGTTACGATGACAACATATTGCTGCTTCTGTATCTTAAGGGAGACGGACCCCCACAAAAGATACTGTTAAACCTTCTCAGATTGTAGAGAACACTTGACTGCATTTATCGTGAATTTTTTCGGAGAGCCGGTAAGCATTCACGGAGTTATAAATTAATTAATATAATAGTTTAGCAAAAAATTGAATTGCCAGGTCTATTTTTAAAAAGCTTACAGCTCAGTCAAAAATAGTCGTTTTAGCGCAGTTTGGTAGCCAATGGTCTATAGTTATAGTTTCATGCAAAAAAAATTGAAAATAACATATTTTCAAGGTATTAATTTATAATTAATTAGTGCTGAGTAATGGTAATTAGCATTCCTCTGGTAGCTTACACTTTTATTTCTAAATTAACGATTTGTTGGAAACGGTGAAGTAGTAGCTCGTTCGACAGAGATTTTCAAACGCTACAAAACCTTGTATTCGCTTTTTCAAAAGTTTACTCGTAAGGAATTACTGTAACCCGGTTTTTCGGAGTATCGGGTTTCTACGTGGGTTATTGTTGTCGGCGCCAAAATATAAGTCAGGCTGTTATTTTTTGAATAACTCAAAGACGGTAAAAGATAGAGACTTGCGGTTTTCAGCAGTCGAAAGAGGACAGTTTAGTCTATATTTTCACACACAGAAACGTTTTCCGAACAAATTTGTGAAATTGTCCCAAGAAGTCCCATGGCTTCCGGGAAAACGTTTAAAGCTTCCGGACCAAGCAAAGTGAAACTTTTGTTTTGGGTCTTATTTTGTAGATGATACTTTGGACTATCTACATATGGAAAAAAATCGATAGACTGCTATGTAAAACTGTTGACTTAGGAACTGGTTTTCTAGAGATCCTCTGAAAAACAAGTTTTAAAATTTGTTCATAAAACGGTTTTGCTTATAAAAATATAGACTAAACTGTCTTCTTTCGATTGCCGAAAACGGCAAGTCTTTAGCTTTTATCGTCTTTGAGTTACTCGAAAAACAACTAATTTTTTTTCTCTCATGGTAATAATCCGAACCAATTAACATATCCAGACGAACATTTTCAATATTCGTGTTTAAGGACTTTTGATGAAAGCTAAAGAGCTGAATCTTCAACCACCAGTTAAATCAAGTTTGGATGATTTGAAAAATTGTTGGCCAAACACAAAATCTTTCAGAATGTAAGACCTCTTTTCTTCTTCTTCGCTATCTCTATGTGTGTTTTTTTCGTTGCTTCACCTCACTAGGTATCGAAATCAGAGAAGATTGCAGCTCAATATGGTATAAAGGTATTATTTTCTCCAAAATTCCATTGCGAACTCAATGCCATCGAAGGTTAGTCGAAAAATAGTCTGCGTCGAGAAAGCAAAGAAGTTATAAAATGTTTAAAAATCGATGTTTTGCCGAGAAAAACCTGCAAACTCGCTGTAGGATTAAAGCGAAAAGAAAGTGAAAATGCATTTTATTCTCGGAAAAATCCATCTTCATATGGTGTACACTCGATGCACTGTCTTTTACTTTTTCTGCGACTATTTTCGATAAGTTTATGGTGTCATCAGAAGAATTATATTCGACGTCGAACAGATCAAACGTTTTCAAGTATACTACGTCTGATGGAAAAAAGCAGATTGAATTTTATTGAAAAAAATATATATTTCAAGTTGTTGAGAAGATTTTGGCGAACACTGGAAGCATATCGTCGTGGTGATACTATGAGACAGTACTCAAACTTTTCTTCAGCAGTTTGTGTAAAGGTGAAGTGGTATCACATCGTAAGGCAACAAATTATTTATTTCTCTTTCTAAGCAAAGGTAATTTAAGAAAACAGCTCTTTCTACTGCTTCAGTGCTATATGAATCATGAAATTGAGTCAATAGTATATCATAGTGTATGTTGTCATGATGAAAAATGTATTTATTTGACTACGAGGTAAAACCAATTTTTCTACAGGAAGTAACTCTAGTATATCAATCTTTTCATCATATGTGACATTCTATGCACTAGTAAAAACATACATTATCTCTATGGCATTATAACTGTGTAGATTTGACAGTTGGGAGCCTTCCCTCGTAAGATGCACTAAAGGCATGCATTTTCGTGACATTATTTCTTTTTGGATCCATACTTGCTTACACGTTTCTACACAGTTATAATGCTACAGAGACCAAAAAGTTTTAAAAACAATAATTTTATAATTGTTTTTGCTAACAGATAACTCTATTGGATACATTCACACGGTTTATGTATAATAAATGTTTCAGAGATTGAAAATCCCAAACAAGGATATTTTCTTGTTATTGTAAAATTGTTATCATCAATCAAGTCTGACGATAGATAAAAGTTTTTTACCACGAGTTCCAAGTAAGTCATGTGAACTCATATTCACAGAAAAACTATCGAATTTCTGAGGATTTCTGTGTGACTCACAAAAAATAGAATACTTTTGAATTGATGTACTCAAGGTAACATTTGTTAATAGAAAGAAACATCTAAATAGCAGTGTATGGCACAAGAAGACTTTTGAATATTAGAAAACCTTTTTTCGTACGTGTCTGTAAAAGTAATTTAATCAGAAATGTGTACCTAATTTTCCTCAGCCATCACCATCCATTATAAAAAAAAATAAGACGTTTTTATATGAGATTAGATCTTATTCTTAGAAAATATCGTTCAAGATCTTTTATTTTTGAACGTCGATGAAGATATTTGGCATTATTAGATAAGACCATCATATTATTTTCAAATAGTGATCTAAATATATTTAATTTGTTTTCGGATAGTATTATTGAATTTAATTCATTAATAGCATGCTGTTTTTCAATTGTTTCATTTTTTAATTGAATTTTATCTATAATATCCCGTCTATATTTCATATGTCCATCAGCAATTAAAATGGGACCACAAATATATTCAGTCTCGCCTTTTCTAAAATCAGGTGACACCCTTATTTTATACGTTTCTTCTTTCAATAGTTTTTGACTTTTATGTGATAATTTCTCTATAATTTCACTTGTTTTTACCATTTGAAACTTTTCACCATCGTCTGTTCTATCACATTGAACAACATACAAAGCCACAAATTTTGGTGCATTTTCTTCATAAGAACAATCTGTATGAAATACAAGTTTTCGATCTAATTGTGACACTGGTAATTAGATGACGATGAATCATTTTCTAGAACTTTAACTGGCCATATAAAGGAAGTTCCATCATCGTTGTATGGATAACATTCATCATCAATTTTATTTATTATTTCAATCGAAACTTTATCACAATCATTATTTAGAATATTCTCACATTTCACTTTAGCATAGCCGATTGTTTCCAAATTATGTCGTATTTCATTCAGCGTTTTCCATCCATAACTGGTACAATCAACTATGTGACAACTATCTGAATCCATTGATTGTGCTTCAACAGAAAAAAATAAAGGCGATCAATTAAAGACCGTAAACACCTTTTAGTTAGGAATGTAACGATTCTCGATATTTATCTTGTGTTTATTTTTGTATAAAAATATCTCGCAGAGAATGTTTTTTGAACAAACAAGTGACAAGTCTTTTTGAAAAATAAGTAAATTCCAGAAATCACAGGCACTTACCAGTATAAATGTATATTTTTACTAGTGCATAGAATGTCACATATGATGAAGAGATTGATATACTAGAGTTACTTCCTGTAGAAAAATTGGTTTTACCTCGTAGTCAAATAATACATTTTTCATCATGACAACATATACTATGATATACTATTGACTCAATTTCATGATTCATATAGCACTGAAGCAGTAGAAAGAGCTGTTTTCTTAAATTACCTTTGCTTAGAAAGAGAAATAAATATTTTTGGTAAAAGATAATGCCACACAAATCACATATTTGATACGGCATAGTGAATGCTTTAGAGCTATATGAAACTGAGTCAATTTTTCTACAGGAAGTAACTCTAGTATATAAATCTCTTCATTTATATGTGACATTCTATGCACTAGTAAAAACATACATTTATACTGGTACAAATAGTTGACTATCCCTCTACCAGCCTGATCGCTGATCTAGATACACTAGAAAAACAACATGTTTCATGCAACTAGTAGAAGCTAAGCCACTTCTAATCGTTCTCAATTCTCTATATGGGTCACATGATCGTATAAGTGCTGTCGTACCGTGGGAAGGAAAGAGAATGGAACCGTCATTGGCAGGTAAGAGTTATGAGTACTGTTCGAAACAGTTCCGCTTTACTTTTAATACTTACTTGGAAGTGCTACGTTCGAGTTTATATATTTAGATGGAAAATCGGTTTTATCCTTATCCTGAGCACTAACAACAGAGAACTTTCCAGCTCTCATTAGGCATGATTCAGAATGGACGTTGTCAGTTGAAATAGTATAAAGAAAAAAATAATGGTTTTGAATAAATGGTTTTGAATTATAACAACAATGTCGTCTAACGTAGTGCTAAAATTGTATTGACAATTAATCATGTTCATTTGGTAATGGATTAAGCAGTGGAGTACATACACTATTCAACATGTTCTGAAATAAAATAAAACATAATAAAATATGTTAATGATTATTTTTATAAATTTCAAAGAGCATAGTAATACATTCGAAAATAAAGTGAAATTGTAAGTTACAAATACTTTACTTTAAATAATTTTGAAACACAAAGTGTAGAAAGTTTTAATAATGCTACAATTAGTTTCTAGTTTTTTCTAATAGATAAAAAATATATAGTAAAAACTTGTTTTTTCCTTTTGCATTGTCAAAATACAATATCTCGGAAACAATGACGACATAAGTGTTCTGGTAATACAACGCATGTGATAATGAAAATGAGAATATACTCGATTCGAACCATGCTCATTTCAGTTTAAAAAGCGTGAGCAAAGCGCTTTATTTTCTCTAATATCTCAGCATAAACAACTAGAACTATTCAATTTATGCGCAAATTAATTAGTTTTTCTATCCTTTTGATCTATTATTCTCAGTTATGATTTTTTCTCTTATATGCATATGCAATACTTATATAGTATGGCTCTTTCTCTTAAGAAACATAATATACGAAAAGAACAAATTTTATACTTTTCCGAAATTTTCATTTATTTTATATCCAAAAGAAGCTGAAAATTAAACCCGTATTCTGAGATATCATCCTAAAGTACAACTCGAACTCCATTTCTTTACAGAAAACACTGAGCTTTGAAATGTTCATTTATGCAAACATTCCTTCTTGTTTAACTATTGAGTTAATGGAAATTATTGAAGATAATTCAAGACTGAAATATCCAAATTAAAATGCACATAAAACCCTTCCCATATTAGAAGCCCTCTAGGGCTTGTATTTGTTCTTGAAACCGGATTTGTCCTTGGCCGGGCCTTGTCGGGAAAAACTGAAAAGTTAGCTGGAGAAACTCCTCAAAGGAGGGCTTATATTATGGGGGGAGTTTATATGAAATCAAATAGAGAATAAATTCCGTGTGTTTATTTTGTGAGCATGATAAAAGGTTTTATTCAGAAGCTGTGAAAGTGCTATTCGTACAATGAAAGATAACACCAACAAGAAAGCATAAAATCAATTTGTTAAAACCGAGGTGGATGTCGGATGGGTAGAATATTTGGAAATTTGTGCATACTACGTTTAACCCGTTTACGCCTACTTTTCGTGGAATAACGACCTCAATCAATAAAAAGTAGAATAAGATACTCTTTATCTGATTTGATTTTACTTCATTAAGGTAACAGAGTATTGAGTAAATTGGTATTCGATTCTACCTTGCTTTGACATTGCAAAGATTCACAATCTGATGAAAATATAAAAATCGTCCAGTTGGAAATAAATTCTCCTAACTATTGTATTTGTGTAGCTGGCAGGACTCTTTCGTGCACATATTAAGTGCAATTGTTATATCTAACATTATTACTCTTATATGCACTCTTTCATTTGCCACCGCTTCCTTTCCAAAGATATTTAAAACTGGGTTCATTAATCCGATTTTTAAAGGAGGTGAACACTGGCTAGTTAATAATTATCGATCTATCGCTCTTCTACCAGCTATATCGTAAGTTATAGAAAAAATTATGTATCGTCGTTTATATAAATATCTTATTGAGAACAAACTTTTATCTACACTCTTCTGCTGGGCTCATTGCGCTTCCCAAAATGAATGAACGTTCGACAGAAAGAAATAGAACACATCCCATGTAGCTAAGCTACCCATGCTTCTCTTCTTATCTTCGTACGCAAGAATGCAGAATATCGGTTTATGATCGCTCGTTATATTTCCTTCATATGCTGGTATTGTTACTTGTACTCCTTTGACCAATGCATAATCTATTTCGCGATTCGAACGAAGAGACGTGAGGCAGTCAGGAGCAGTGGCGGCGGACCCGTTAGGCTAGGGGAGGTCTAAGCCTCCCATAGAAAAGGAAGAGGAAGGCTTGGGGAGGCTCATATATTTTAGAAAATATCATAGATCTCATCTTTAGTTTACATATGGTGAGAAAAAAAGATTTTGAGCCTTCCCTAGACTGAAATCGTTCCGCCGCCACTGGTCAGGACTAAAGGGCGCCAATGACAAACTATCGGCCCATGCGAGTAAAGGTTGTGCTTTATCAACATCTTCTTCAAGATCGACATTAAAATCGCCCAATAATACACATTCAGTTGATATTAATTTCGAAAGATCATTCCATGTCCAAGTCTTACTTTCCGGTGCACACATTTCTACTAATCTAATAATTTCATGGACGTGAAGATCTATTGCGCAAACATTAGGGGGATCGCAAGGTATCGGACGTGCTCTAATATTTTGTCGAACAAGTACCAATACACCATTATGAGAATTTTCACCTTTTTGATAGAACATATTATATTGTGGAAGGGCATCTGTCATAGTAGTTGTATCAAATTTACCAGTTTCTAGTAAAATGATTACATCAAAATTCTCTTTCAACGTTAACATCATTATTTCTTCCCATCTAGGATCAAGTCCACGTACGTTGAAACATAGTGCATGTAAAAATGATACTGTAGATTTAGATTTCGGTTTATTCATATTCTGCCAAATCGAAAAACACATTTCAATATCAGGTGATCCATGCCATTCATTAATAATTGTCTGGAGTAATATATAATCTTTTACTGATAGGGTACACTTTGCTGCTCCCATAATCGATCCTCTTATTTGTTGTTCCTCTCAGGAAACGTGATCTAAGGAAATCGCATTTGGACCAAGGCATAAATCACAAGTAAGACAAATAATAATAACAAATTTCGTAAAAACATTTGACATGAATAGAAAG